GCATTCATCCTAGAGTGGAATTATCAATAATCTGGTTAATGTCAAACCTAGTTTACTATCAGGATGTTTGCATTTAAAGAGTCATGAAAGTATAAGTGTGGATTCCGAAATACACAATATTTACGTACAGATGAGTGAAATATAGACCGACTTACTGTTGGATAAGGGCTGCATGCGGAGTATGAATTTCCAAATACTAATCTGCACTGGAAATCTTCGTCATACGTTTTGCCAGGTAAATCATTGGTTGCAGTCTGCCTCACGCCAGGAGACGAAATAATGGGTTCATCTCTTGTACAGTGAGAATTCCCGTAACTAAAAACAACAAAACATAATATTATGATGACACTGTATCTGAAAAATGAGTTTAACGATATTGCGAGCAGTAGCAGTTATTCCAATATTTAGTAGCAGTAGCAGCAGCAGCAGCAGCAGCGGAGGCAGCAGCAGCAGTAGCAGTAACAGTAGTAGTAGTAGTTAGTAGTAGTAGTAGTAGCAGCAGCAGCAGTAGTAGTAGTAGTAGTAGTAGTAGTAGTAGTAGTAGTAGTAGTAGTGATAGTAGCAGCAGCAGCAGCAGCAGCAGCAGTAGTAGTAGTAGTAGTAGTAGTAGTAGTAGTAGTAGTAGTAGTAGTAGTAGAAGCAGCAGCAGCAATAGTAGTAGTTGTAGTAGTACAGTTTATGTAAGATTTTGATAATATTTACCTGAAGAAATTTTGTAGCTGATCACTGCTACATGTTGACCAAATAAATGAACCAGGGCCAGCTGTCCTACTCGACGACATGATGTTCAATCTGTCCTGACAATTACCATTACCATCGTGTTGAATGCCAAGGCTATAGAGAACAATGAATCATTTTAATTCATATATTCACTTTTTCTGCAGATATCATTCTCCTGAAGACGTTTAAAGCAACTCAATCGAAACGTCGAGACATTCTCAACCAACAACAGTTCTTTTCAGAACTATCTACGTGGTGTACCGCAAGCTGTATTATCATTTATTTATTCGTTTGTCTATTTGTTGATTTAGTGACTTACTGACTGACTGACTAATCGAGTGATTGATTGATTGATTGATTGATATATTTATTGAGGAAGTAATTGATCGATCAATGGAATAATCGATCGTTAACATGTTGATTGATTTACTGATTTAATGAAATGTTCTTAATCTATTGAATTACACCTTATCTAGGCCTAAATGAGTAGCAATCGAAAACTTGAAACTTTGAGTGAATACTCATGGGCCTAATTTTTTTTTCTACTGAACCTAACACGTTCAATCCATATTATTATTTTTCTAAAGTCCTGGATACATTGTGCAACAGGTCCTACAACTTACGTATGTCCGATTTCATGTGTAATTGTTAGCCCAGCGCTCAATCCCGACTCTTCATTCATTGAACATTGATATCTTGAGTTACATGTGCTCGACAAACTAGCCAATCCCAGAAGGTTGCCGTTACCATTGTAATGTAGGTTTTTCCTATAAAAAAAAATATAAAGATAATATTCTTTCGTTCAATTGTAGTATTTGTTAATTAGTATTTTCTTCAGTGATAATTATATATAAAACAGGGGGTCGTCTCATACGCCCAACATACACAAATCGTAAAGAGATGTTCTCAAACTTGGATGTTGTCTTATACACGGATCGCCTTATGCACTTATTTTAGCCTAAATATTTACCTGCTTATAAGCACTGCGTTATCCCAGTCAACAGGATCACTGCCTTGGGCTGGAATCAGTCGTTGCTGGAACAAGCAGAAGTCGTTCAAAGTTTTTCCGGCGTCGTTTGTTGCAGTAAACCAACCCGCTCCTGATCTATTGATCTGTATATTTGAAGGATAACCACCAATTGTTAATAATATTTCTTTTCTTTAAATTTCAATAATAACAGTTAGGGTAATATAAATAATACATGAAGTTTATAGTAGGCACTCTAGAAACCCGAGTGAATACTTTTAATTGAATAATATTGAATCTTCATTACGTAGTCTCACTACTAAGCAAATAAACCACTTCAGAAAAAAAACAAAAACATAAAAAAAAAATACATTTCTAAAAGGCCTATTTCAATTTCTCAATTTCTCAATGAGCTAGAAAAAATAATAATCACAAAGTTTTACTTCAACTTTAAAAAAAAAAAAAAAAAAAAGGAGAAAAAAACACTCCTTTAGTTATAATTATATTTTTGTAATTTTTTAATCATAATAATTTAATATATTTCCATTTTGGAATTGGTTTGATAACAGATTTAGTGTTTTGATGGGCATTGAACCCAGGCTCCTGTGATTTAACAGCAATTAAACACCAAACTATAGCCCTTTCTTTGCGAATTCTACTACCTTAAATTGAACACCTGAAATAGTATTTAGTTCTATGTATTTTTACTAATATCCCCATAAAACGGTATTTGACTTACAGAGTAACCTTCCATTATTATCAGTTTTGTAATGTAGAGTTTTACGTATGTTCGAAGTGACGAGTGGGCGAATCGACTAGCAGCCTGTGAAAATGAGAACAACGTAACATCAATATGTTATGTTAAATAATGTAAATAATAAGAATAATAAAAATAATGATGATGATGATGATGATAATGATCATGATGATGATGGTTACGACTCTTGTTGTTGATGATGATGATGATAGTGATGATGACGATGAGGAAGAGGATGGTGGTGACAATGTTGATGATGATCATATGATAATGATAAGGATGCTTATATAGGCCTACATATGAAAAATACCAACAAAAATCATAACAATAATTTTTGAAATTAACTTTCTGATTTTGATGTAACATTGTCAACTTGAACATAACAATTAGTGTATTTAAAAAAATGTTTACCCATATTTTTACAGGGAAAGTGAAAGAGACACGTGTTTTATTATGTTTATCATTACGCTATTATCAGGGTACACATTTTTTAATTCAATAATTTCTATGCTCCAAGGTAATAATTTGTATGTATTGCAAAATAAGCAAGTTAATTTCTAAATTTTTATTATTTTCGTCATTTTCAGGTAAACAAATTTTTAAAAACCAGAATTATCTTGAAAATTCCTAGATATTTTACAAATAAGTTTATTATTATGATATTAATTTTGACGAGGATAGTAATAAAATAGTAACAACAACAATAATAATAATAACAATAATAATAATCATAATAATATATAATATGATAGTAAGAATAATCTTTTTACAAAATTAATTCTTGAAATATTTTGCATAACCAGTGATTTGATGCGAGTTTCATCCGTTGTGTATTTTGTGTGTTTATGTTAATTTAATATAAATTATAAATGATGATCATGGTTGTGATAACATTGATTATAATGGCAATGATTATTATTTTTTGGTTTGATACATGGTTACGTCAAAGTGGCTTGCAGTTGAGTTCTTACAATATTTATTAGCGTCAATGTATAGTCCTCTACTGCATCTCCGTGATACAATCTCATCTGATAATCCGCTACAACAAGTAGTTCCAAATGGCGGATGGCGGTGGACGTTTGTCTCTTTGTTCGAGTTGCTTCTTCCTCCCCTTCCTCCTTTCCCTGGACGGTTGATTTTACTGGCTTAGCCATCATATTTACATTCTTTTCATCGTGATAATACTCTAGAATCATTAATGAAAGTAATTTGAAGATACAGTATACTATTTATGTCCGTATAATAAACCATTGCTCAGTATTTTTTTTTCAAATACGCTATTGTGATTTAATTGAAAATATTCAATGTTTATAAATATTATTTATTTTAATAATTAGTAGGTCTTATACCCACTATTTTTGAAATAATAATAATAATAATTATCAATAGGTCTATCATTATAAGTGGCGTATCTGGGGGAGGGCGTGGGGATGCACGCCACCCCCCCCCCCCACCAAAATATTTCTCGCGCCCTCCCAGTCGCCCCACACCAAAAAAATCACAGTCAAATAGTTAAAAATCAACTAAAATCACCATATTTTGCGAATTAGCGTCCCTCAACTGATCATCGAGCAACCCTCTCACTTCACTTTTGCGCCCCCACCCCCCCCGCGCCCCCCCCCCCCCCCCAAAAAAAAATCTGCTTTCTGCTGACAAAATCTATGTTTCCTAGTACAGTAAATTACATCAGTTTGAGTCTTTCTAATTAAATATTAACATTTATTTTTACCTTTAAAACATATATTTTTGTATGGACAGGTTTATTTCAATTAAAAGAACATTTTTTTTCACACCCAACTCAGACAAATATCATGTGCATAGGGTTGAAATAGTTAAGAAACTGCATTACAGTAATGAAAATACTTTTTTCTTTTTTTCATTTAACTCCTGTATTATGTCTAAATACATAATAATGTTAAAATCACAAAAAACATAGTAGTTCAATAAGCTTAAGAGACATTTATTGAATTATTCTTGCCACCATTTATTGAATGATTCTTACTATTATGTAAATTATTAATTTCCTGTAGAATCTTTATACTGGAATTGTAAAAAAAAAGTTTTTTAAAACAGTTGCACTACATTATTTATTGGCACAATAAAAACAGGTAATGAAGATTTTATTACGGTATAGATTTTATTTATATTCAGATAAATTGATCTGTGTATTTTACTGTCTCTTATACACATCTAGATGTGTATAAGAGACAGCCTCCCCATTCATTGCAAGAGTATTATTTTAGTTATTTTAAATCCAAAATTAAATTGTAAGATGTTTGTAGTTACTGCCAAGGATAATTATCATCATATGACATAACAAATATTATAACCATTCACATTGTAATTCAGATGATAATAAATAGGCCCGATAGATAATAAAGTATATTTTTTAACATTTATATAGGTGGATGCAAGTAAAAAATAAATTGTTGTTGCTGATGATATATTTTTTTATAATCTATTAATATAATACACAAAACGTTAGGTGAGTTAACGTTTACTCTTTCCTTTCAAGCAAATCTGAAATATAAATACTGTATTATATACAGTACTTACCTTCATCGATGGATGAAACACTAAAATATCTTTCTATACTCTCCTTCGTTAAGAGATCGTTTATCTAATGGTAAAACAAATCCGTTGAATGAGTTAACTGATTAACCATTACATTGGTAATGGAATAAAGTTGACTGAATTGCTTTTACAAACGACAGTACATATACTACTTACGAAACGCAAAAGGAAGGATGTTAAGGCAGTAGGCAAAAGCTAACAGAAATTAACATTTATGCATTTTTATAGGGCTATGAAACATGCATGGTAATGCAGACATCATTTTTCTTTATTAAAGGTTAACAAGCTAAATAAACACAGTCACGTGAAGAAGTTCAATGTGTATATTTGACATAGAAATATACTTTACAATGTTACGTAATAGGTATGTTACGAATAATAATGTATGGATAATTGATATGGCTTTCTTACACAAGGGGTATCATAGTGCTATAAAAAGCTTGGTGGCAAAACCTTGAAAGAGTGCGTTTCAAGAGTGCAACAAAAATAAATAGGGGCCGGGCTATTTTTACCAGTAGGCTAGAGTCAACTTGCCGGCTAGTGCATGACATTAAAATTACACCCGCAGTCAATATTTTTCAATTCATTACTAGTAGGCCCTATTACACAAATCTTTTTGCATTATAATATACCGTACTGAAATTATAGCAACCGGGAACATACATCAATATGAGAATTGAAACGAATTTCATGCTACAACGGTATGATTAGGAAGACCAAAGTAAAACAAATAAAAGGTACCGCAATATAGAAAAACAAAAGAGGAATAAACTTACTGCTTTTGAGTGAACAAGGGTAATAAGAGTTGCGATGAAACTGGCAACCAAATAACATTTTGGTAACACAGCCATATCAGTAATCAAATTATCTCTAAGTTATTTCAAATTTCAGCTTTAGTATCGTATGTACCGGTGTTTTCTCTGCTTCTAGTGACAGCTTAAGTTTTGACAGGCCTTATATATGGTTTTGTACCTCTGACGCTAGGCGATGTGTACAATAGAACATAAAATCAATTGAAATTATTCAATGGACTATACCAACAGGTGAGATGAAAGGGGGTTCCGGTTGATTACTTAGATTTATGAAGCACTGTGACGACATAATTCAACACTGAGTTAGATAAATTAGACTTGTTTCGTAACAATTACTTTCATACAATTATAAGTAGGTCCATATACAATTCTGAAAAATGTGAGAAATTACGGTCTGGAAATAAAAAATAATAGTCCTATTAAAAAAGAATATCTGTGTCTTCCCACGATCTTATTGTGCTTCAAGTGGAAACAATACTAAATAAATCTGATGGTTTTTCAATCCCACTTGTAATTAGTGTAACCCCAATACTGAGTGTGGGCTGATTTTGTAGGTTAAAGTGGAGCTTTACCTTAGTGGATAATACCCTCTCCAATATCATCCCGGGTTTATTCATGGTATATAAAGACAGGTTTGTGTCTCACAAATAGATATTTTATTTACAATCGTTGGCTTGCTCAACCCGAAATCTTATAGGTTAATCTAAAGTGAAGTACAGTAGACCAATTCAGTTTAATGTTGTTTGTTTTACCGACAAAGGCCTACTCATATTGTGCTGTGAACTTGGAATAACAAGAATGGTTGTTTGAGTTTCTGTCTGTAATGAATACGGTACTTTTTGTCCGCGTTTTACACCCATTCCTCAGTTTATGAAAGATTTCATTGTTTCCATCACATTTTAACCGTTGTATGAGAGCAGCCAATCAGACTACATTATTACATCTGTCTCTTATACACATCTAGATGTGTATAAGCATGATGTCATAATCGTATCAAACATACTTCATCAACAAACGTTCTTTACTATAGTTTCTTTTTTCAGTTCTATAAAAAAATGCAACCAGCAACCTCTCGCTATCATGGATCGTTTCTATTTTAATTCGTTTTAAGGTGATCTCATCGGCGATATAAGAGCCAGGAGCAACTATTGTACCAAGGTATGATCTTGCAATTTTCCCCAATCGATCATTGTCCATGCATATATTGGTAACCAACTGTAGGCATTATTGATGACGTAATGTATGGTACATATTGGCAGACCAGCTACCTGTTGATGCAACCCCAGGATGAGTTAATAGATTTCCCAATTCGGTCTTCGGTCCATTAGGACAAGTTTTTCTAAAGGGTGTTGCGTAATACGCACTGAATGAAGTAGATCACATGAAAGTAACTTTGGTATAGAGATATACCTTGATGTGGATTGATTGTTTTTTTGCTTAGTTGATTGATTGATTGACTGATTGATTTATCGATAGATTAATGACTGTTTTAGAGTTAAAGAGAAAAAACATCAGATAATTATGGACAAAAAAGTATAAAATATTCAAGCAAGTTTTATTACTGAAGTTTCATTAGAAAAATAATTAATCTATTAAATAATATCAATCAATTATTCATTGCGCATTAAGCAATACCTTGAGATTGCAGTTGATTGATTGATGAATTGTTTGATTTAGTAATGTGAATTGTTTTTAATAAATTGATTGACTGATTGATTTATCGATTGATTAATGACTGTTTTAGAGTTAAAGAGAAAAAACATCAGATAATTATGGACAAAAAAGTATAAAATATTCAAGCAAGTTTTATTACTGAAGTTTCATTAGAAAAATAACAAATCTATTAAATAATATCAATCAATTATTCATTGCGCATTAAGCAATACCTTGAGATTGCAGTTGATTGATTGATGAATTGTTTGATTTAGTAATGTGAATTGTTTTTAATAAATTGATTGACTGATTGATTTATCGATTGATTAATGACTGTTTTAGAGTTAAAGAGAAAAAACATCAGATAATTATGGACAAAAAAGTATAAAATATTCAAGCAAGTTTTATTACTGAAGTTTCATTAGAAAAATAATAAATCTATTAAATAATATCAATCAATTATTCATTGCGCATTAAGCAATACCTTGAGATTGCAGTTGATTGATTGATGAATTGTTTGATTTAGTAATGTGAATTGTTTTTAATAAATTGATTGACTGATTGATTTATCGATTGATTAATGACTGTTTTAGAGTTAAAGAGAAAAAACATCAGATAATTATGGACAAAAAAGTATAAAATATTCAAGCAAGTTTTATTACTGAAGTTTCATTAGAAAAATAATAAATCTATTAAATAATATCAATCAATTATTCATTGCGCATTAAGCAATACCTTGAGATTGCAGTTGATTGATTGATGAATTGTTTGATTTAGTAATGTGAATTGTTTTTAATGAATTCATTGTTTAAGAGGGAAAAAAAACAGCTAATAAGGAAAAGGAAAGTACAAAATATTTAAGCAAGTTTTTATCGTAACATTTTATTTTAAAAACAAATCTATTGAATTATATCATAATGAAAATAATGATAAACTCGATTACTGTATTTTAGTTTGCTTGATGTCAGTTATGTCTGTTGCTAGTCTTTATTTTTTAAACAATATTAAGAGAACTTAAAAAAAGAGAAATTAAAATAAAAGTGGGTGAAAAATAAAATCATATAATAAATCAAATAGATAATAATACAGTGCTAAAATATATAGGAACATGATGTTATAATCGTATCAAACATAGTTCATCAACGAAAGTTCCTTACTATAGTAATAGTAATTCTTTATTTGTCCTCCTATAATATACATATTATATATACGCCTACACACTGGGGAATTTGGGCAGGGTCCTCTGGACCCTCAGCAGCCATAGTTCGGTACCACCCGACTTAACTTGAACCTCAAACGGATACGGACTGATATAAACATGGTCTTTAACTCGCCTAACTCTATTGAGAGGGTTATTCGAGGAGCTGAGCGTTTATGTTATTATAAGACCCGAATTCAATGCTCTATACAGAGTCGGGTATCGAACCCGGACCAATTATTAAAACGCTCAGCTCGCCGTGTTGATTGAATCGAACCCGTAATCTCTCGCTATTTCGTCGAGCGTCTTACCGTACAACCTGAGGGCTCACACATAGTGGAACACATTTTTAAGCTAAGTAATAGCTTTTAGGTTGCAGCTGGTAAATCATAAAATAATTTTCAAATCAAGTTGCTGCTTTAAGCACTGGGAACAAAAAATTATATATAAATCAAATAGATGACAATGCAGTGCTGAAATATATATTATATATAGATATATAATGATAACAGTGCCCGAAAAGTAACATGTTGTAATAATCGTATTATAGGTCATCAACGAAAGTTCCTTTATTTAAGTTAAAAAAAGTTCCTCTGATGGGATTCGAACCTGCACCCTCTCGCTATCAAAGCGAGTACCATGCCTATTAATCCACGGAGACCTGTAGGGTATACGTGCAGATCTAACCGCAATGAACTGACTGGAACGTTGTATGAGAGCAGCCAATCAGACTACATTATTACATATGGAAACGTTTCTATTTTAAATAGTTTTAAGGTGAGCTCATCGGCGATATAAGAGCCAGGAGCAACTATTGTACCAAGGTATGATCTTGCAATTTTCCCCAATCGATCATTCTCCATGCATTATATTGGTAGCTATATATAGGTGTTATTGATTACTTAATGTATGAATCAAATTGACAGACCAGCTACCTGTTGATGCAACCCCTGGACCAATTAATAAATTTCCAAATTCAGTCTTACTTAGTTTGTTACGAGTTTAAGTCCTGTCGAGGACAATTTCGTTGAGATGTGCCCAATATGATCAGTTTTCATTATTTCTTAATTCGAACACTTTATCTATTACTGTAAACCCAGAACTTATTTGTGCACCATTCATTCTAATTTTGAAGGCGCAGAAAATGATCCCTCTAGAAAGCAAGCTTTTTAAGTATTGAAGAATGAAGATTATATAATTAAAAAGCATTGTCATAACAGGAATATGTGTTGTTGGTAACGTAAGACCTTCATCAGTTCACTTCAGAGGCATTGAAGGTCGACAAAACAGAAATAAATGAAGGTCTCGTCAGAAGAATGGATGGACATATTATAATAACACAATTGCGAAGTTTTTTGTTACTGGTTGAAATCTCTAGTGTCATGTTTTGTTTGTTTTTTTTGTTTTTTTTTAGCAATGAGAAAAATAACCAGGGAAAAAAATTTGTTCTTCTTCTTCGCAACCATGAATTTGTAAATAAAGCTTCAATTTATTTGTATTGAGCTAATAATCTTGAATATAAAATTTAAAATTTATACGGTATTGCTTCAACTGTAAATATGACTTAATTCCAAAAATATAACTAGAAATTAGTAACAGGCGGATAATTTTTGGCTTACGTTTCTGTATAATTTACAAGAGAGTTGCAGAGTTTAACTTTCCATAATATTATAGCATTGCATAAAAATAATCTACCTCAGCAAAAACTTAAATATTTGTAGGGTTTTAAGACTGAAGTTACAGTACGGTATATCTTTAAATCTCCCCCAAAGCCAGTGGACCTGGGCTAAACATTCGACAATACTAAGCTTAATCTGAGACAACAATACAACTCAGGGTTAACCCAAACAATATATTTTATATACAAGTCCCTCGTAGACATTCTATATATAAACGTACCAGGTTATAAACAAATTACAAGTCATTGTAGATATAACAGATGAATCATCTTAAGCTTTGTCCATCAGATGATCTAATTTTCTTTGACAAAAACTGTTGTATGCCCATATATAGTCATGATGTGCCTATATATGTCATAATGTAATGTCATCATGATCATATTAAGGCATATCACATGTTTTTTGCCAAGTTTAATTTTATAATCTGGACAGCGTTTTACCCTTGATAAAACATTTTTAGAGGCCTACACTTATTTTTATAAGAACACCGAAGCTGAAATTGCTTTAAAAACAGGAACAAAATAAGAAAAAAATTAGGCTGACGTAAAATGTCATATTAGGTTTTTATAAAAAAAAAAATTAAAACAAATTTGAAAAACCAAAAATCCAGCTAGTCACATACAGTAGAGTATTAGGGTTTTAACAAGTTTATATCAACATTATACTGTATCTACTCCATTAATGTCAATAGATGAGTTTAGTCAGGGAACCACACAAAATACTCGGCTAAGCTTGTTAAAAAATAAGAATATTGAGCCAGAAATTGGTGAAATAATATGATGTAAGCGTCAATAGTTGGTTTTCCTCTTAAAGCTGTTATCCGACATTAACTCATTACAGTGTTCAGTCAG